CAACTCAAGTTAGCCAGAAATCTCATCTCTCTCTCTCCCTCTCCCTCTCTCTCTCTCTTCCATTCCAATATTCCTTTATATATTTTTTTGTTTATATTACTATTATGCACAACCACACATCTCTCTCTCTCTCTATACATAGTCCTTGAAGGATGTCTGTTCTTGTGAAGCTATCTGAGTAAAGGTCTAATTGTTATTCAATCTAGCCATCTTTCAAAGAAGACATATATTCATGCCCATTTTTGCACCCCAACAATTAAATTAAATCACCCTTAATTAATATTCTAGCTATCTTGTTCTTGTTTGTTTATTATTGCTTGAGGGGTTCTTTTCTTTCCCTTACCATACATCAATCTAGAGTACTATAGAGGGAATAAACAAACACCTTCCCCCACTTTAGTCCTTTCTCTGAATTCTCTTCTTGCTGGTTTCAGTGTTTGATGAGTTGAGTGGGTATTTCTTTTTCCTTTCCTTTCACTACTAGTGTACTAGCTACCACTGCTAGAAATCATTTGTGGGAATATAAGCTGAAAATGCCTCAGAATCTAATTCCTGATCTTTCACTGCACATTAGCCTCCCAAACAGTGCTCCATCTTCAATTTGCACAAATGAAAGGGATGATGATTCAGCCTTTGATATATGGAGATCTTCAGCTGAAGAAGAAGGTGAATATGGCTTCAAATCTCACAGTGATGGTTCAATCAAAGGTAGCAGTAACATAGAGCTGAGTCTAGGGAACCCCACAAGTACTACTCCCTCTGAAGCTGAGAGCCCCTGGAGGAGAAGTAGAAACTTTGTTAGAGCAACACAAGAGAGGCAAACAACAACAAATCATGGTGAGGTTTCAGAGGGTGTAAGAAGAGTTATAACAACACCCTTCAATGGAATCCCTTTTTATAATAGTAACAATTCCTCAACAGAGAGGGTTTCTTCTCTCTATGCACCACTTCCATTACCATACCCTTCTTGTTCCCCCAATAATGATGCTACTGTTGGGGGTGTAAGTGTAACTCCAATCTCAAGG